AATATTCTTGAAAGCCTACTATTTTAGCCAATAATTTAGAGATTTGACCATAACTCTGTCAGATTTTTAGTGTTTCTCATGCTTTTAGATGCGTTTTGAAGGGGTATAATAGGGTCGGTTGTAACCGGTCATAACCGGTTTTTTAACGGTTAGTTAACCGCAAAATAACTGGTTATTTCATTTCCAGAATTGACTAACCACTAACCACAGTCCGGTTTTTTTGCGGTTAGGTCCAGTCTGGTCTCGGTTATTTTCCAGTTAATTAACCTAACTTCCAAGCACTATTTAGCTGTAAACGTTCAAGCATTGTGATTTGCCTCAATACTGCCATCTATCACAGACCCCTGTGTAGTGACCACCCTGCCTTATGCAGGACCCACATATGAGGCGAGGCGGAGGTCGCACCGGGCAGACGAGGATTTGGATTGGATGACTTACACCAGACTCAGGCTGGTGCAAGACAGTATTCGGAAGGGCCACGGCGTATCGTTGTAGGGTCTCCCCAGTAACGTCATTTTCCAAGACGTGAGTTTGCTCTAATTCGTCTCTGTAGCTGAATTTTCTCGGTCATTCCTCTAGCGACGAGTGAGAAGGCGACTGATGATCTTCGGGTACATTGGACGTTCCTTAATTCACACGTATAACTGAACCTTGGAAGGATCTGACGTTCATAGGCCCTGCACGCATAGTGCGATTGCATTAGTAGAGTGTTGATATAACGTTTGGTCAAATGATAAAAAACATCAATATGAACAGAAATTGAAGTTTTCCTGTAGGTTAGATGGTCATTTTGCATAGTGATTCCGACGAAGTTCAAGTTGGCTACATTTGAACAAGTTTGTCAGCATGGAAAGGCTCAAAAAATCTAAGTCCTCGTGCTCACAGATTCCACATATCATTGCGAGCCTGGCTAAACGGCTGGCCTTGGGTTTTTTTGATGCTCCTGTATATACATATCTTGTCAGCAACTTTGCACTCCCCTGCACATGCCAGAACGGGCACCCACCGGCGCATGCGATGTTTCATGGTCCACATGTACGAATGCTCTCTCGACATTCGGCAATACCTCGATCCTATCTTGGAGTTGCTGACTAAGGTCATGAGCCTTCCAAAGTGGAGTGTTTGCGTCCATCACCACATCTACCTCGACGAAGTAGTTAGGCCCACTCTGTACCTCTCATCGTCAGTCAACGAGGCGCAAGGTCAATTTAAGACTGACATGATAGGCGCGAACAGTGTCAACCTTCTCAATTTCATCGCTGAAAGTCGCTGCCTTGAAAATGACGAGTTGCAGAAATTCGTGTGATGCAGACTTTCCAGCTAGGAGCCCGAATTGTTCATAGATCGTCATGCCCCACGAGACAATTACACCGAGAGCTATCTGGAAGAGAATACGAAAGAGATCAATGAAACATTTTTGCTGGTAAAAAACTGACGCACTATGATAGCGCCCGTAGGATCGAGCCCTGTAAGTCAAAGGGAAGTGAGTAGTTGGTAGAGATAACGTGAGGCGAGTTCACCTACACCATCGAAGTTTACTCCCACCAGCAGACATCAGTATACCTTAGATAGAAAAAGAAATGAACGCCAGCCATGTTCTGTTCTAAGAGAGCTTACCAAACCCATTGATGAACAAATCGTTTCGGTGGTCCTCCCACAATACCAAAACCTGGCTCGATTGGTGTCGAAGAGAGTAACAATACAGAAACAGGACGAATTTCACGGCTAGGCAGATGGTATCAAATTCAGTCAGGTAAAAGGTGGGAAGTCAACGACATACCCAGAGCCGCTCCAACAGCAATTATCGACGGCAGGTGGAATGCGGAGAGCTCATCTCCATTCTTGCTGGTAAGTGTGCGGATTGATTCGACTATGACGACCAAGTTGACCGACCCCATACTAAACAATTCGCATATCATTCATGTGCACAGCTTCATCTTGTGTGGTTGAAAACTCACAGGAAACCTTGGAATGAGTCAACATGAAAGTCGAACAAAGAGCACAGAAGGGCCTGCACCATAGATAATATTTCCGATAGTTTCAAGGCGAGCACCACCAACTGGCCACCGGTTCTCATCCAATCTCTCAGCTTTCCGATGAAGCCACCACAGCAGAACATTGCTTCCAACATCGAACACGGAGTCGATTCCGGTTGCGATCAAGGATAAGGACAAGGAAGAGATAGCCGCGTACACTAGAAGTGCGTGAGTCGTCGCGCAGCTAAAAAACGATACGAGATGAGGAAGCGTACTCTGAAGGATACACAGTCCTAAGTTGGCAGCGAGACTTGCGTATACGGCAATCTTAACCTGCATTTGAAGATATTCAATAAATCGAACGTAAACATTGGAACTGCCGACTCACAGGCAGACGATAGGCCTCTTCTTCCACTCGAGCGTCCTCCGTGTGCTCCTCCATGGGTTTCAACAGTGAAATAATGAGCTGTGATGCATATCCGCCATTGGTAAGCCGATTTCCACTTAAAACACCTTTCGGGCGTACCTCATTCTGCTTCCCCTGATACTTTGCAACGGGCTTATGTTGCTTGCGTCGGCGGAGACCATCGAGTTCTTCATCAGGAATGAGTCCATCGCGAAACTGGAATGGGTCGATAACACTCGTTGAACCAGAGGCCCTCTCGATGTCGGGTGTGTCAGGGGTTCGGGGCTGTGCACACGACGTTGACATGCGATCTGTGGCCATTAAGCAGTGCCAGGCTTACCTCCCTCTCGCCGACCTTTGTGGCTCCGGACGAACTGGGGTCGTTGCCAGATGATGATTGTGTCATCTGAAAATTAAATCCGGCAGCAGTGAGAACCGAAATAGTGGATACTGCAAACACGATCAGTCCTACCGTTCCTTTGGTTCGATCTGAAAAATTAGACTCACAGTGTAACTTTCAAGCTCCCGACTTTTGATTTGAA